AGCCAGTTCCAGAAAGTACTGAAATGATTCTGAGCTAAACATTACCTAACTCAATGAACATAAGGAAAATTGAGAACTTTTGAGCAAAATTGTTCTGAGAAGAGTCGACATTAGAGTTCCATCAAGCAAAGAATCCGTGTTCACCAGTGCACAGATAAAGTCGCAAATCAGTAGCAAAGACAATCATAAATATAGCCTAGCTCGGGTTTTAATAAATCAAGAGAATCTAGTACTTTAAATCAAGTTGTCCAATCAGTTGCAAAGTGATTTATAAAAGCAAGTCGGCCTTCCTTGCAGAGTAGTACCGATTTTTGCTTTCCTGATTCGAAATTTGGAAATGTATTTCACAAGGACACAGAGAAGCAATAGGCAACTGTGACTTGTGTGGTAATTGGCCTTCTAGGCATCCAGGATAGATAAGATCCGAGCGGCAGCCAAAAAAAATCGGAAACCCTGCTGGCGTTTCGCCAAGTGGAAGGCTTTTGTTCGCTACGAGAGTCAAACAGAGGGCGAGGAATGGAAGGGAATTGATGAGGAGGGATAATGGCATTCTAATTTTCCTTCACCTTCAGTCACCGTTCATGTAGTTGATGTTTAGTAGACATTTATACATATAGTTCTTTTATATTTATTTATTTGTATTTATGCTCACATTTGTGTATTTAATTATATGTGGATTTGTGCAAATATAGATATAAATTTAAAAAATAAACAAATAAGATATACACGTAATATGCATATAGTTGTGTACGTGTATGTCGACATTTCATCGTTATGCTTTTAGTTTTTCATGCTAGTAGGGGAATAATCACTTATGAGAATATCTCCTTGCAGAACTTTTAAACATTCTTTCCTGTTGTTGGAAATGAATTGCCATTTCCAACTGAATGAACAAAAAGTTTTGAAATATTTCACGAGAAAAAAATAACTCCCGACTCAGTCGTATGCTGGTTGTGAAAACTGTTTTATATAAATCTATTTTCTGTTACTCTACAGTGTTTTTTTTTTTATTATTTGTAAGAACGGTATCAGTTTAAATATTTGGTTTTATAAATAAGTTCTTGATAGTAATTTCAACTTTTAGGTTCTTCTTTTTTTTCTAAATTTTTGTTTTTTTAGCGAACGGCGCGTATTTCGAACGTTGTCTCCTGATGTTTACAAAAATTTTTATTTTGATCTTATTTTAGTTGGAGCGTGAAGCTATATAATAAGATTTTTTTGGAATATTTTAATCAGGTTTTTAAGAAGGAGGAATCAGTCGAACAGATCGATTAATAATTTACTTGTATCTAGAGTTTGTGTGGAAGTGGTTTGTTCTAAATATTATAGTTTTTAAAGTAGAATGCAAGGAATCTTTCTTTAATGGAAAAGATGATACCATTGAACAGTACAACTGAACCACCAGTGATTTAGGAGGTTACGATTTTGTATTTTGCGTTAAAGCGAAGATGATGATTTAAAGGCATTGTTTCAGTTTCACTCTGCTATTATCTATCTTTTTATGGAACGTCGCCGCCGAAGATCTGGAACGTTGAGGAAGAACTCTTCTAAGGCTGAAAATTTTAATGATGAAAATAGCAAATTAGATTCGTTATGCGCTTCCCTTGTTGAAGGAAGTAGCAGTTGGGTGAACGACTCTGAGAATCAGCAGCAGTTAAATTTTGTTTCTCCTGATCCCACCCCGACTTTTGAATGTTTTGCTACTCAGATACGAAGTTGTGATGCAAAGCAGAAGCTGATTCGTGACCTACAAGTGCATTGTTTTTTTTTTTTT